ACGCTGTGCGCGCGCGGCAACCGTCCGCGGACTACGCGAAAGAGCGTCGCGCACCGGGCGCGTACGGCTACTGGCGGAATGAGCCGTACGGCTTCGGCTATGCGCTAAACAAGAAGATGCACGCGGGGCTCAGCGAGCACATTATCGACGCGATGAAGATCTCGCATGAGATTCTGGCCGTGCAAGAGTTTGAAGAGGCGTTGAATGCGGGCGGCGTGTTTTTGTTGTCGAATTCGCACAAGCAGTTTTCCTCGTACAACATTCTGGGTGGTCGGCGCGACCACTTCACGGCGGTGTCGGGGCTGGACTTGAGAGTAAACGGCATGCTGGCGAAGCCAGTCCGGCGTTACGACACGGACTTGATTTTGCCGCCGTTCATGCTGAGCATTTGTTTGCCGAAGGTGATTGTGTTCGAGTTCGGGGACGTGAACGTGAAGGCGGTGATGTTCGTGTTGCGGCGCGAGGCGAAGTTGACGGCGCCCCCGCGAGCGGAGGGCGGCAAAAAGGCGCAGCGCGAGGAGCCGCAGTCGGCGGACGCGAAGGCGGTCGCCTGCGACAGCAGTCTGGCGAGCGCGTCGACACACGCGGACCTCAGCTACTACATGCCCTGCTACTACGACTCTGGGCAGCTGGCGAGCAGTTTGATGCCCGCGAGCGCGCAGTTGCAGCCCGACTATGCGATCTGCGCAAGTTTGCTGAGCAACTCATCGGAGCCGGTCTATTCGCGCTCGGGCCAGTTCTTTTTCGATGACGTACATTACGCAGAAAACGCTTAAGTACAATTAGATTAGATATTTAGTGTGTGCGGGCGCGCCCGCTAAGCAGGAGCGAGTTCGGGCAGAGCGCCGAGCTGCGGTAGGCGCGGGGAAACGTACCTTGAGCGGCGCGTTCGCGCAGAAGACGGTGTCTTCGTGTGGCTTGACGCGCGGCGACGCGGCGCGCAACTCACCTTCGGCGTGTGCAAAGAGGCTGAAGTCAAATTCGCGGTCGGCGGCGATCGCGCGCGCGGGGCCTGCGGCAAGCGTGGAAGGCGTAACTGCACAAGCGTTGGTTTTATTTTTCAAAACGGCTTCGTACTGAGCGTAGAGCTCAGGAGTGAGCGAGCGCTGGTTGAGGCTGAGGTGTAGCGCGTTGCTCTCGCTCAGGCAGCCTGCGGCGCGCAGCGCGAAGATTGTCCGAGTGATTGTCGCGGGGTCTGGCAGCGCGCTGGTCGCGTCAAACGTTGCGGACGAAGCGAAAAACGTGCCGAGCGCGGCTGGCGCCGGAGTGGACGCGGGTGCGAGCGCGGAGGGAGTCGCAGCGGCGGGAAAAAAGCTGGTGTTTGCGTTCGATATGTTGAGGATCGAGTTTGCGAGCTGCGGCGGCATGGCAAACGGGTTGCCGTCCGGCTTTGAGGCGCCGCTCTGCACTGCGGGAGTGCGGCGTGAACTTACGCAAGTCGAAAAAGCTGGCAGTCATGACTGGGTCGACGTGCGCGGCGCGCTTCGAGCGCTCGATTTTATTAATATATATTCCACGGCGGCGACGGCTGCGTGGCGGGTAGTCTGTGGTCGTCGCAGCTGTGCCTTCTGCGTGCGCTCGGAGATTGCGGCGAGTGCGAAGCGTGTGCTACGGCTGCGCGGTTGGCGTTCGCCCGGGGCGACGCGGCTGGCGCGGCGTCAGCGCTGGCGCTCAACGCACGGAGCTGAGGCGGATTTCTTGCGCCTTTCGGCAGACCCGCGAGCCGAGCCAATTGAATTTCTTCATGCTCTCGAGCGGCTGGTTGAAAAAGAGGTAGAGCACGTACACGAGCCCGACGAGAATTGCGAACGCAAGGAGCAGCGAGATTTTGTACTGTGAGTGGCGCGACTTCAGCCGCAGCCGCACATACAGTATGCCGAGGAGTCCGCCGGCGAAGGTTATGTAGAAGATTTGAAATATCTCTTTGGTGATGCGGTCGGCGAGGAAGTAGAGTACTGTATTGGTTGAAACCGTGAAGAGCACGAGCAGGTTCAGGGTGCTCACCACGCGCAGCGGCGACATCCCGAGCGAGAGCAGCAGCGGCCCGTAGATGATGCCGCCGCCGACGCCGGTGAGCGCAGAAAAGGTGCCTGCGAGGAACGCGAGCGCGATGTACTTCGCGCCGGTGCTTGCGCGCAAAAAGAGCCGCCCGCTGAGTCGCGTGTAGTTGAAGAGCAGGTGCGCCGCGACGAAACCGACGTCTAGCAGCGCGAAGAGCTGCTTGTGCCCCGAGGCGCAGAACAGGCTCTGCACGCCGCCGCAGCGTACGAGCAGCGCGATGTTGCCCACCCAGAGCGCGCCGATGTTCGCGAGCTCGTAGCAGCTCCGGCGCAGTCCGGTTTGGTAGCTGTGCAGCGCGCTGTCGCTCAGGTTCGGCAAGAACAGTGAGGCGCGCGCGTCCTCATACTGCCTGCGGCTGTGATTTGCGGTCTTGACGCAAGCGATCAGCAGCACGACAATCATGAGCACGAGAATCGCGTTCGCTTCGAGCGCGATGTTGAGCATGAGCCCGCAGAGACAGCCGAGCACGATCGCGGCTTGTAAGTAGCTGACGAGCATGAAGTCAATGTCGGACGCGCGCGTTTTGAGCGCGGTTGCGAGGTTGACGACAAATGCGCCGAGCGCAGTACCGAACGTCGCACACTTCGTGCTGGGCACAAAGATGTGCGGGTCCTGGTACTTCATCGACTCGAGCGGGATGAATAGCGCGCCGCCCCCGGTGCCGCTGGCACCGGAGAGCAGCGCAGCGAGGAACGCGAAGGCGCTGTGCGCGACTTCGTTATTGCTCATGAATTGAATATGCACACAATTGGTCACACAGCCGGAAAACCTGTGGTGGAGCATTTTGCTGATTCGAAGGAAAATCGAAATTTTCGAGAGCAATATGCGGCCCGAGCAGGCGCGCGCGCTGCTCGGCCTGGACGCGCGTGCTGCGGGCGAGCCTGCGCAGCTGCGCGCGCGTTACCTGCGGCTTGCTCGGCTTTGCCACCCGGACGCACAGCGCGGCGGCGCAGAGTCGGAGCTGCCGACGGCGCTGCGGCAGCTCGCGCGTCTTGAGCGCTTCGCGCAGCTGCATGCGGCGTTCAACCAGCTGAAGGCCGGCCCGCCAGGGTTGCCGCCGGCAGAGCCGGCGCATGTAGTCGAAGTGTCGCTTCGCTCGCAGGTCAGCGCCGAGGAGTTCGACGTCGCGAGTCGGGGGCACATGTTGCTGCAACTGGACGGGCAATGTGTTCTGGTGTGCCGCTGCGGTTGCGCGCAGCTGGTGCCTGAGGCGCAGGACGACGACGCACTGCCGCCGTTAGTTTGTGGCACTTGCAGTATCGCATACCGCGTCGTGCCCTAGTTTGCGCGCGGCGCGGTGCGCCCGCAAAAAAATGCTAAGTTTTGTGCTAGCGATTATCGGCGCGGCGACCGCGCCCGTACCGCCGCCGTACGACGGCACAGGAGTCGTGGGGCCGCTCCTGACGGAAACGTACGAGGTCTGCAGCGTCGCGGAGGGTCGGCAGGCGCGCTGCGGGCCGAAGGCCACTTGTTTGATTATCGGCGGCGTGCCGACCTGCCACTGCATCCGCGACGCTGCGAATGGGCTACCGCTCGCGGGCAATCCGTATCGCGGCTGTTCGTGGGACATCACCGGCGTGTGGGAGCTGAACTACTTCGAGGGCGACGCGATTCAGCCGTACAGTTCTGGGTTGGTGAACTCGAAGTATTTGTTCAGCATCAAGCGCACGGACGCGGTGCTGAAGACGCGGTACATTACGGGGACCATTTACATGGTGACGCCGCTGACGGGCGGGCAACCGAGCGCGGTACGGCGCGCGTTCGTGGACGTAAACGACGACAGCTCGGTGATTTTCGAAGCTGCGGAGGGCTTTGTCGACGCAGCGGGGCGCTCGCTGTTTCTGCGGAGCCACGGCGCGGAGGTGGTGCTCAACAAGAAGTTTCCGACGGCGCCGTTGCACTGTGTGGACGACCTGCGCGGCGGTTGGAAGAAGCTGGACGGCAGCCGGATCAAGATCCACAAGTTCCATAATGGCGCGAGTTCCGCGGTCACGCGGCATCCGTTCGCGTACTGGTACAACGACGACTCACACGGCGCGCCACACCTGCGGCTGAGCACGGCTATCTTTCTAGACGAGACGCTGGACTTCGAGAAACGGCAGTTTGACACAACGGAAAAGTTTGTGCAGATTGGCTGGTACGGGCGCATCAATCGCGGCGTGCGCTCAATCAACATCCTTAGCCCTGCGGACGGCAAGCCGATCTTCCACTTGAAGAAAGTGCAGGAGTTCGCCGAGGAGCCGAACGTGGAGCTGCCGGTGTCGGTACTCAGTTTGCAGGGTCAGGATCAGCTCGACGCGCTGAGCAAAGCGCTTGGTGCGCTGAACGGCGGGAACGCGGAGGACGGCGGCGCGGCGGACGGCGGTGCGCGGCGACAGTTGATGGAGCGCGCGGACGAGTTCAGCGGCCGCCAGCTCGCGGAACTGCTGATACAAACCTCTGAGCTGTATTCAAGAGCCTCGGCAAGCTCACCGACTTCTCTAGCCAACTACGCGGCTAGCGGTGCAGCGCTTTTTGCTGACAGTGTCGCGGAGGGCGACGCGGAGGGCGACGCGGAGGGCGACGCGGAGGGCGACGCGGAGGGCGACGCGGATGGCGACGCAGAGGACAACGCGGAGGGCGCCGCGCAAACTGCGCACAGCGGCACTGAGCCGCGGCGGCAGCTCGCAGGCATCGGCGACCGTATGATTACCCCGGAGCTCGCGCGCGCGTTGAACCGCGAAGTCGACAGTCCGCCAACAGACGCGTTCCAGCGCAGCTCGTTTTACGGCATGACGCACAGCGACAGTTCGCCGTACGACTACCTGTATGTCGACTCGGGCAACAAGCTGCACCGCATCGACTTGGAGCGCGAGGAAGAGTTCAGCTATTACGTTCAGCGCAATCAGCGGCGCAGCGTACGGCGACGCGGCTAAAAATACATCGGAATCAAAGCAGATTTATTTGAGCGCCTGCAGGTCGCGGTAGGCCTGCATGACGCGCGCAACCATCGATTCTTCGGCTTTGCGGATGAAGACGCGCGGGTCGTAGTACTTCTTGTTGGGCTTGTCTGCGCCCTCCGGGTTGCCGACCTGCGTCTTGACGTACTCCTTCTTGCTCTCGAAATAGTCGCGCAGCCCGCAGCAGTAAGCCCACTGCGTGTCGGTGTCGATGTTCATCTTGACGACGCCGTTCTGCACGGCTTCCTTGATCTCTGCGGGCGTCGAGCCGCTGCCGCCGTGGAACACGAAGTAGACCGGCTTGTCGAGTTTCGAGCCGGTTTTCGCCTTGACGAACTGCTGGTGCTTCTTGAGCAGCTCGGGGTGCAGCTTGACGTTCCCCGGCTTGTAGACGCCGTGCACGTTGCCGAAGCCCGCGGCGATGCTGAACAGGTCGGTTACGGTCGAGAACTTCGAGAAGATGTCGAAAATGTCCTCCGGCTGCGTGTAGAGCGCGGCGTTGTCGACGCCCTCGTTGTTCACGCCGTCCTCTTCGCCGCCGGTGATTCCGATTTCCATCTCGAGCAAGCAGTTGATCTTCGCGCAGCGCTGCAAGTACTTGAAGGACGTCGCAATGTTCTCTTCTTTCGAGCACTCCGACAGGTCGATCATGTGCGAGCTGAACAGCGGCTCGCCGTGCGCCTTGAAGTACTGTTCGTCGGCCTCGAGCATGCCGTCCAGCCAGCTGAGGATCTTCTTCGCGCAGTGGTCCGAGTGCAGAATCACCGGCACGCCGTAGCTCGGCGCGATGCTGCGCACGTAGAGCGCGCCAGCGACCGCTCCAGCGATCGAGGCGCGGTTCGCGGTGTTGTCTTGCGCCTTACCCGCGAAAAACGCGGCGCCGCCGTGTGAGAATTGGATCATTGCGGGACACCCGGCGGCTTTCGCTGCCTCGAGCACCGCGACGCACGTGCTTGAAGACGTGCAGTTCACCGCGGGGATCGCGTAGCCGTGTTCGCGCGCGTGGTTGAAAATTTTGCGCACGTGGTCGCCGGTGACGACGCCGCTCGGAACGTTGAGATTTGCTACTATGGTCATTTCAAATAAAAGAATATCGTTTTTTCTCCGTTTTGTTCGCCAGCCGTTTCGCACACTATGTCGACTGGAGGCGTACACAAGTTTTGGGACTCGCAGCCGCATCGCGGCAAAGGTGATCAGCGTGCGCGCGATACGGTGAGCACCATCAACCCGTCTGCAGCGGCGCCGGAGGCGCCGCTGCCGCTGCCGGCGGGCTTTCGCTGGGTGACGGTGGACTTCGGCGACGACGCGCAAGTGGCTCGCGTGCACACGCTGCTGCTGAATCACTACGTCGAGGACCGCGATGCGCTCTTCCGCTTCAGCTACCGCTCCGAGTTTCTGCGCTGGGCGCTGCTGGTGCCGGGCTTCAATCCGGACTGGTTGTTGGGCGTCGAGGCGGACGGAGAGCTGGTCGCGTTCATCGCGGGCACGCCAGCGGCCGTGTCGCTCTATGCGCAGCGCTTCCCGCGCGCAGTCGCCGTGAACTTCCTCTGTGTGCACCGCATGCTGCGCCAGCGGCGACTCGCGCCAGTGCTGATCAAAGAGCTTACGCGCCGCGCGCACCGCGCGGGCGTGGTGCACGCGTTCTTCACGGCCGGCGCGCAGCTGCCCGAGCCGCTGGGCGCTTGTCGCTACTTCCACCGCGCGATAAACGTGCCGAAGCTGATCGAGACCGGCTTCCTACGGCTCGAGGCCGGGCAGACACCCGCCGCGCTGGTCGCGCGCAACGCGCTGCCCGCGCAGTTCACGCGCGCTTCGATCCGCCGCGCAACGCCCGAAGACGCGCCCGCTCTGCTCGCGCTCTACACGGAAGGCATGCGTCGCGCGGGCACTGCGTTCTTCGAAGAGCTCGACGCTGCGCTCGCCGCGCACCGTTTCCTGCCTGCCGCGGACTTTGTGCAGACGTTCGTAAACACAGATGCCGCGGGCACGGTCACCGACTTCTTCAGCTTCTACTCGCTGCCCTCGCAGGCGCTCACTGCCGCGCCCGACGCGCCCGCGGCCGAGGTGCACATCGCGTACCAGCACTACTGCTTCGGCCGATCGCTGGACCGCGGCGAGCTGCTAGAGAACTGCGTCATCGCCGCGGCCGCCGCGGGCCACGACGTGTTTAACTGCTTGAATCTCCAGGACAATGCGGCGTATTTCGAAAAACTGCGTTTTGCGCCCGGAGACGGAACGCTCTATTACTACACGTTTAATATTCAGTCGCCGCCCGTGCCGGCCGAGAAAATCGGAATTATAATTTATTAACTTAGTGATGACAACCTAGACGACGAGTCGGAGCGTTTCGCCGTGCCGAGTTCGAGGCATTTGTCTGACGCACTTTTTTTTCGTAACTGCACCTCATGGGCAAGCCCAAATCGCGACTGGTTGAGTACGGCCGGCGCAAGCGCCGCTTCTACGGCATGCTGTGCGTGCTGCTCAACCTCGTCGCTGCGGTAACCTGCTACTTTTCGCTGCACGCACCGAACTACCACTTCAAAACCGTGCACCTCTTGACGCTGCCGGCCATGAGCTACCAAATCGACCTGTACCGCGTGCACGTCTTCAGCGATTGCGACGCGTCGGCAGTCGGCGAGGTAACTCTGTTCCGCATGGATCTTGAGAGCCGTCGGAAGCGGTGCGAGGAAATCGTGCGCGACCTGGACGGCTCGTCGCTGTTCAGGGCCGCGTCGGTGATGTGCACTGGGCCCGAGGTCACGTACCTCGCGCTCGGCGGTCTCTGTTTGAGCATGAACAAAATCGCGGCCGCGGGCTACATTGTGCGCGTCTTACTGTACTTCGCGATCCTAATGTGCGGCGGGGCGGTCGGGTTCGCGATCGCGTTCGTGCTCTACACGCCGATCCGGCAGACGCGCAACGCCGTGTTCATGCTGCCAGTGTTTTCGAACGTGCTGCTGCTCCTCGCGCCGCTGCTTTACGCGTACTTCGGCGGCTCGCTGCGGAACATAACGAACGATCTGGCGGAGCACTTTTACTACAAGCAGCTGCTTGCGTCGGACAGCCTCTCTTCGGGCTACTACAAGCTCTTCGTGACCTTCTTCGTAGTGCTGATTTGCACGACTCTGAACGCCGTGCTGATCCGCCGCGCGCCGCACATCGACAGCCTCGAGCACGCGAACTACGAGTACAGGCGCGACCTCAAAAAGGGGCAGGTAGCGCTCGTGCGGCCGCGCCGCGAGTTCTACACACCTTCCGAGTTGGCGAAGGAGAAAATCGAGCTTGACGAGGAAGACATGGAAAAGCTGCTCAACCGCGAAGTGCACAGGCACCTGTTCCGGCTGGACGTCTAGTACAGCTTGCGGAAGCGCGCGGGGCGCACCAGCGCACTGAGCGCACTGGCCAGCTGGTACGGCAGCCAGCTCGCCGCGACGACGGCCGCGACGCGCGCCGCGAAGCCGCGCGCAAAGACGTAGCCGCGGTCGAAGTTCTCGCGCAGCAACAGTGCGCTGCACGCGTAGGCGAGCGCGCTGAGAAGCAGGCCCGCGACAATGCGCCGGTCGAAGTGCAGCACACCCGTGGCCACGTTCAGCAGCGCAGAGAACACCAAGCAGCTGAACGCGAGGCTCGCGAAGTGGTCCAGCCGGCCGTCGAAAGCGAGCCGCGCGCCGATCACGATCGCGCCCCCCTGGTACAGACTGAAAAACAGCAGCTTCGCGAAGAGCAACACGTCCACGCTGTGCGACTCGTTGAACTCGTCTTTGATGTACAGTTCCGGAAACATGTAGATGGTTTCCGGCGCGACGTCGTAGTCGAACACCTGCGCGAAGCCCGCGAGCATCGTGTAGTAGGTCGCGTAGCCGACCAGCAAAGCGCTCGGGAACACCGAGACCGGCGCGCCGTAGAAACTGGCCGAAAAGAACAGCTGCACCACGCCGAGCACGAGTCCGCGCTGAATCACGAACGAGCTCAACTTGAAGGAGCGCAGCCGACACAAGTGACCGTGGTACAGCACCAGTGCGCGCAGCTGCCGGAACTCGAGCAGCCGCACGTCTGCGCTCAGCGCCGCCTGCTTGCCCTCGAACCCGACCAGCCCGAAGCCGCAGTGCGCACGCTGGATCATCGGCACGTCGTTCCCGCCGTCGCCGACCGCCGCGACGCGCAGCTGCGGAAACAGCCCGGTCAGCACCGCGACCAGCTGCGCCTTCTGCGATGGGCTGCAGCGCGAAAGCAGCACGCTGCGCTTTTGATGGCACAGCTGAAAGAACAACCGCAGCGAGCGCCGCGTGCTCTCGTCGCGCTGCGCCTTCACGTACAATTGCGCGACTGTGTCGACCACGAAGCTGTCCAAGCAGACCACCACTTTATCGCTCTCCGTCTTCGAGAACTGAAAGATGCGGTACATGAACGCGTCGACGTCTGGGCACGTCGTCTGGCTAAACGCAAAGAAGCTGTCTACGCGCCGCTTCAGGTTCGTCGACGTCGCGATCGAGAGCGCCGTGTCCGCCTTGTCGCCGGTCAGCATCCACACTTTGATGTTCGCCTGGCACAGCGCCTCGATTGTTTGCGGCACGTCGCGCTGCAAGTGGTCCTCGACCGCCGTCGCGCCGACAAACTCGAGGCCGCAGTCGAGCAGCCGATCTGCGACCGCGTACTTTTTCTCCGCCAAGTTGCCGAAGCTCTCGAGCGCGCTGGCGTTCGCTGCCTGCAGTGCCGCGAAGAGCTCCTCGGACACGCGCTTGAAGCCAAACACCAGCGTGCGCAGCCCCTGACTCGCCAAGTACTCGACCGACTCTTTGATCCACAGCGGGCTGCTCGCGAGCAGCTCGAGTACCGCCGAGTCCGCGCCCTTCACCACGTAGTAGCGCGCGCCCGAGTCAGGAAACTCGACGAGCACGCCCATGCGCTTGCGCTCGCTGTCGAACGCGTACGTGTCCAGCAGCTTCAGCGCCAGCCGCGCGCGTCGCCCGTCCTCCTGCGCGTACGACAGAGCGATCGCGTCGCGCGAACGCTCTGCGAGCACCAACCCGACCGAGCAGCACCACTGCACGAGCGCCATCTCGTCCGGCGAGCTTGCCTGGAAAACGGGCTGTTCCGCACCGCCCCCGTTCTGCGCAACGAACACCGAGTGGCACACGCTCATGCAGAGCGCGAAGCGGTGCAGCCGCGCAGTCTCCGACTCCGCAGCGTCCAGCAACGCCTCCAGCGGGTTCTGCGGCGCGAACGTGTCGAGGCGCACAACGTTCAGATTGTAGATTTTTTGGTTGCACACGACATTCGTCAGCTTCATCTTGTTCATCGTAAGCGTGCCCGTCTTGTCCGTCAGCAAAATGTCCAGCCGCCCGAGCTCCTCGCTGATGTTCGTGTTTTGCACGCGAACGCCGGCGAGCTCAGCGTCGTGCTGCACGTAATACTTGTACACGAACTTAGCGAGGTCCAGGTTCACCTTCAGCGAAATCGGCAGAATCGAAGTTAGCAGCAGCACGTGCCGCACGAAGTAGATGATAGAGTAGCGGCTCAGCGGTGCGAGCGCCGTCAGCATCAACGCGCCGACCAGCAGCACAGCACACAGGATCTTCGACATGTTGTTGATCTCCAGCGCAAACGCCGAGACTTTGCTGGCCGCTTTGTCGCGGTGCAGCGACGAGCGCATGCGCTCGCCGGTGAACAGCGCGAGAGCCAGTACCGGCTCCCCCGCGACCACCGTGTTGCCCCACAGCGTGTTTGCGAGACTCAGGTGCACGCGGTCGAACTCGCCCGCGGCGTTGCGCAGCGCGAGCACGCCTTCGAACTCGTAGATCTCCTTGCGCGGCGGCTCGACTTGCAGAAAGCCGTCGAGCTGCGGCCACGCGTCGAACTCGCGGTTCTGCGTGACCGCCAGCGCGTAGCGCAGCTTCCAATCGGTTTCGCCGTCGAGCTGGTCAGTGCGGATAAACGTCGCGCCCTCACTGCCGTAAGCCTTTAGCAACAGGCAGTCGCACGGCACGCGCGCGTTCGTGCCGAGCCGCAGCACGTAGCCAGGTCGAATGCGCTTCGAGGGCAGCTGCGTAAACTTTAGTTGCCCGGTCTCGCTGATGTGCGTAAGCGCTACGTACGCCTCGTTGTTCAGCACCGCGGCCTGGCGCCAGCGTTTGAACTCGTCCAAAAACTCGGTGCTGAGCGACATCGCGACCACAAAAGCTAGCGGCGCGAGGTACGTCACCAGCGGTCCGATCGCAAACCACTTCACCAGCTGCGAGAGCGCGACGAGCAGGTAAAACAAGTTGAAGAAATGCCGAAACTGCTCGAACAGAGTCACCGGCAAAAAGTAGCGCCAGCGCGAACGCATGTAGTTGACGCGGTTGTCGAAACCTTCCTCACCTGCCGCGGGGCGGAACCAGCACAGCGATTCACCGGGGGCCGCGCGCGCCGCCTTGGGCAGCTCGAAGCGCACGAACGGCGCGGCGCGGCCGCGACGCGCGTTCTTGAAGCAGACGAAGCACGCGTGCTGCACCGCGCGTCGGAGGCGCCCAAGCAGCGAGAGCTCGTTTGGTTGCAAGCGGAGCATGCTTCCGCAGAGTTTGAAGCATTCAGGGCACGCGAAGTCGTTGAGGCTTGCGGCTGCGAAGCGGTAGCCGGCAAACTTGATCGAATTTAAATTGAAAAAAGGCGCGAGCGGCACAGCGTCGGCGCGCGCTCTGCCGCGGCGCGCAACATGAAGATCGCGCGCGCTCGCAGGCGTGCGGTGCGGACGGCGGCGCAGCGCGCGATGTGGACACGCGGTCATGTGGACAGCGGCGGGTGCAAGTACGTCGTACGCATGCGTTTTATTTAAACATGGCCGAACTAGCATCTCAGTCCGACATTCGTGCGCAGCAAACCGCCGAGGCCGCCACGCGGAGCGGCACGCTGAAGCCGAAGAAGAGCGTTTCGATTGACGAAAAGCCGCAGCTGGTGCCGATGCCGAAAAACTACGACAAACTGCACTCCCAGCCGCCGCTGCCACTCGCGCCACAGCCGCAGCATGGGCGCTCACCCGTGTACTACGTGCCGACCGGCTATGCGGACTTGAGTATGGGCAAAGGCGAGCACGAAGATTGCAAGTTCGAGCACGCGCCTCTGCACATCACGCCTGACGCAGAAGAGCGTGAGGCGAAGAGCAAGTCGATCGAGCTGGAGCTGCAGCCGCACTTGCTGACAGAAGAGCAGTTCAACGAGCTCGCAGAGAACTTGCGCATCGAGAACGGCAAATACGTGGTGATGACTGCGTACGGCAGTGTCGTGGTGCCGGACGAAGTGCTCGCGCACATCCCGAAAGAATTTAAATTGAAACCGATTCAGAAGGAGCACAAAACGTTCGTGCCGAAGACCAAGCAGCACGACCGCTTTTTCGAACGACACCAAATCCAGCACAAACATCACTTTGTGCACGTGCCGACCAGCGGCGTTGTCAACAAATTCGTGCCGAGTGGCAAAGAGGAAACGATTGAGATCCGGCGCTACGTGTACAAACCCGTCACGGAAAAGCGTTTAGTCGACTTACCGCTCGGCTTCCGCTACATCGAAACGCCGCTCGATGTCTACATGAAGAAGCCGCCGGTGTTGCTGCCGGCGAGCGAAAAGCTGTACATTGAGCGCCACATCCGCAAGACGCGTCCAGTGATTAAGGAGAAAGTGGTCGAAGTGCCGAAGCAAGTGGTCAAGTACGTCGACACTCCCGTCGAGAAAGAGATCAAATACTTGGTGCCGAAGTACGTCGAGCAGTACATCGACGTGCCGTACGAGCCGAACATGAAACTGCCAACTCCGAGCGGCACGATCCACACCGAAATCCCGACGGTCGAGGACGCGAAGCGCTACATCGACGCCCTGAACAGCGAAATCGACAAGCAGCAAGACCGCAACCTTGTCATTGGCCCGGATGGCGTGTACTGCAGGCTTGCAGAAGACGGCAAGTCGCTGCAGAGCATGGACGGCAAGGCCCTGTTCGGCGAGGACAACAAACCGATTGTCATTGACCGGCCTAATTCGCGCAGCGCGCTAGGGAAGCAGTGCAGCATCGTGGAAGACACACTTGTCATTGACGCGCTCGACGAAGATGAAATGTACATCGAAGTGCCCGAAGGCGTCAACGCAGTGGCGCACACCGAGGACTACGAGATCGAGGAAGTCACGCAGCTCGACAGTATGGACAAGGTGCACCGCGTCGAGGACGGCCTCAAAGCAAAGGTGATCTACGCGGGCAAGCCGCTGCATTACGTGCCCGAGTACGTGACGCCCGGGCTGGAGCGCCGCCTTGACGCGGAGCAGTCGCACCCCGTCGCGCGCGCAGACAACGCGCCGGAATACGTCAAACAGAACGCGACAGCGGTCTGTGCCGTGCCGCTGGAGCCTGTGGTCGAGGTTGGCGCGCCGGGCATGCGCATGGTTAACTACGAAATCGAGCAGGGCGACGCCGCGGTGCTCACGCGGTTCGGCGAGTTGTCCGAGCGCAACGCCGCGCTGCTAAGCTGCGGCAACCCCGCGAAACTGATGGTTCACAGACTGCACGGCTCGCGCCACGCGCCGCTGACCGCAGAGGGCGCGGTGGATTTGGAAAAACTAGAAGAGATCCAGAAGGAGTATATCAAGCGCGCGAACTTCTCGCTGCAGATGCCTGCCGGCCCAAAGGACTCCGCGCCGCAGAGCCCCGAGTAGCGGGCGCACAGCGCAAAAAAGCAATATGCGAATTAACGCTAATAATTTTCACGATGCGGAGCTCTGAGTGCAGAGAGAAGTTCATCGAGTTCTTTCGCTCGAAGGACCACACATTTTTCGCGTCGAGTCCGGTGCTGCCGACCAACGACGACACCCTCTTGTTCGTCAACTCGGGCATGTGCCAGTTCAAGTCTATTTTCCTGGGCACCGTCGACCAGAAGTCCGAACTTGCGAAACTGCGCCGCGTCGCGAACTCGCAGAAGTGCATCCGCGCTGGCGGAAAGCACAATGACCTCGACGACGTCGGCAAGGACGTGTACCACCACACGTTTTTTGAAATGCTCGGCAACTGGTCCTTCGGCGCCTACTTCAAGCGGGAGGCCATCGACTACGCGTGGGAGTGCCTCACGCGTGTGTACGGACTCGACCCGCAGCGCCTCTACGTGACCTACTTTGCCGGCGACGAGGACGCCGGGCTGCTGCCAGACGAAGAAACGCGCGAGCTCTGGCGCCGGCACGTGAGCAGCGACCGCATCTTGAAGGGCAACATGACCGACAACTTTTGGGAGATGGGCGAAATCGGGCCCTGCGGCCCGTGCTCCGAGATCCACTACGACCGCATCGGTGGCCGCGACGCCGCGGCGCTTGTGAACCAAGACGACCCGAACGTGCTCGAGCTCTGGAACTTGGTCTTCATGGAGTACAACCGCGAAGACAAGCAGCGGCTCTCGAAGCTGCCGCAGCCATGCGTCGACACGGGCATGGGCCTCGAGCGGCTGGTCAGCGTCATCAACAACCTGCCCAGTAACTACGACACTGACCTGTTCTCCGATCTCTTCGACAAGATCTTCGAGCTTTGCCCGCAAGCTCCGCACCGCTACACCGGCTTAGTCGGCGCGCAAGACGTCGGCACTGTCGACCAGGCTTACCGCGTGGTCGCAGACCATGTTCGCACCATTTGCGTCTCCATTTCGGACGGCATTTACCCCTCGAACACCGGACGCGGCTATGTCTTGCGTCGCATTGTGCGGCGCGCGATCCGCTACGCACTACAAGTTTTGCGCGCGCCAGAGACGCCCGAACTGTTCCTCGCGCTGGTCGACGTGGTTGCACTGAGCATCGGCGGCGCGTTCCCCGAGCTGGTTGCGCGGAAGCACGTGATTCAGCAACATGTCGAAGAAGAGTTTCATCTCTTCTCGCAAACGCTCGCCAAGGGCACCGCGCTGTTCGAAAAGCAGCTAGGCAAGTGCCGCGACGCGCAGGTGTTCTGCGGCAAAACCATCTTCGAGCTTTACAGCACCTACGGCTTCCCTGTCGACCTCACCGTGCTGCTGTGCGAAGAGCGTAACATACAGCCGGACCTCGCGGGCTACGAGGAAGCGATGCGCAAGCATGCGCTCGCCAGCGCAAGCAACGCAATCAAGCAGCTCAGCCAGATCCTCTCGCCGGAGCAGCTAGGCCTGTTGCGCGAGAAGTACAAAGTCGAGCCCACCGACGATGCGTTCAAGTACGACCACGAGCCTGCGTCTCGCACCGTCGCGCCGCTCAACGCTCGCGTCTGCGTGCTCACAGTGAACGGCCGCTTCTGCGAAGCGCTCGACTGCGCCGCCGAGGGCGCCTGCGCAGTGATCTTTGACCGCACGAACTTCTACGCAACCAGTGGCGGGCAAGAGTGCGACTACGGCTGCATCAGTTCAGATGCGTTCTACGGAACGGTCGCGAACGTGGTCGCGATCGGCGACTATGTGTTGCACTTCGTTGCGCCCGAGCGCGGCACGCTCGCGCGCGGCGACGCTGTGACACTGCGCGTCGACGGCGAGCGCCGCGCCGCGCTGGCCGTGCACCACACTGCCACGCACGCGCTCAACTATGCGCTGCGGTGCCAGCTGCAGAGGCACTTCAACCAGAAGGGCAGCACGGTCGAGCCTGCGCGGCTGCGCTTCGACTACGAGGCCGAGCGGCCGATGAGCGAGGAACTGTTGCTCCGAGTCGAGAAGGACGTCGCCGAGTGCATCGCGCGCGACCTTCCCGTGCATTCCGCCGTTGTCGAGAAGACCAAAGCGCTCGCGATCCCCGGCCTTCGGTGCGCGTTTGACGAGAAGTACCCTGATTTCGTGCGCCTCGTCTCCATCGGCGCAACGAGCGAGGAGCTGCTCAGCGGTCAAAAGAGTGGCGAGCAGTTTTCTGCCGAGCTATGCGGCGGCACGCACCTAAAGCGCTCGAGCGAGCTGCAGGCCTTCTGCATCGTCAACGAAGACAGCGTCTCGAAGGGTGTGCGCCGCATCTTCGCCGTCGCCGGCGACGCAGCGCGTGAGGCGCTCACGCTCGAACAAGAGGTCTTCGCCGCGCTAGACCGCCTCTCTGCCGTTCCCGAAGTGTCGCGCCAAGACCTGGCGCAGTTCAACGATTTCTATAAGAAGAAGCTCGCGACGCTGCGTTGCACCGCGCGCCGTCACGTCGTCGACGTTCTGGCGCACCACACGAAAAAGTGCGTCGAGCGCGAGAAGAAGGCCGCCAAGGCGCTGTTGGACGCCGCGAAGACGTTCGCTGAGTCACTCGAAGTCTCCACAGACGCGCCTAACGAGTTCGTTTTTCCTCACGAGACGCTCGAAATGAAGGTGCTCGAGAAGATCATGGACGTGCTGCGCAAAA